GCAAATATATAAATAAAAAAAAGGGGGCTAAGATGAGAATTGGATACGCAGGAAAACAAACACAGAAAGGCATGAAACAATTCTTTGATTCTCCCGCAGACACAGAGGTGATTATCCTACTGGAGACTACAGGGCAACTTAAGGAGGAGAGAAACTGCTTAATATATTGTGGCTTTAACCAGCTAGCTGAGGAGAAGCCCCGTGAGCATTTAGACATCTTGTTTTTTATAGTATTGTGCTTGATTTTGTTGTCGCCAGTGGTGTCTGCTGCAGCGGCTTCTGCTTCTGGAGAAACAAAATGCAGCAGAAATCTTCATTTTAAGCCTTTGCGACGACAGCAAAGTGCTCATTGTTCCTGCTCGCATCTGCCACTTGACTGATTACCCAATCTCATTTGAAAAGAAGTAAAACACACTGACAGATGTTGCTATAATGATACCAAGAAATGCTGAGTAGTATTCTTTGAACATCTTAAGTTCTCTGAAAATTCTTCTTAATTCCTCTTAGCCCCTTCACATTTAATCTTGTCATTGTAAGAACTGCCATTATTCCGAAACACCCAGTTCACACGCATCAGCTCTGTGGTAAGAGCACCACGCAACCTTAAAAGTGCATTCTCGATGCACTTCAGACTCTGCTTAACCCCCTTAAATCATCCAGCGCTACAAAGGGGCACATGCATGTGAGAATATGGCCTATCCTACAGCATGAGATGCCTCTAATAAGCTGTATAAAAGGGGATCATCTGATTATCCCTGGTGCGCTGGACCAAGGGGCCACAGCAGAGCACAGGCCCATGTTGTTCTTTCTTGATGAAAGGAGGTGGATGGAAGGAATCCCTCTCCATTGCCTGCAGTGTGCCCCAGGCTTCTCTGTGCCGGCACACCGCTGGGGGACTACAACGTGCCACCATGCTCAAAAAGCCAATATTGTAACAATCACAAAGACAAACACTTACCCATGAAGCGGGCACATGGCTCCTCACCCCAGGCTCGCCTCTGCGCCCCTCAGTTCTTTTTGGAGGAGGATGTTTGAACCTTTTTCACGTTTAAACCAACAAGGGGCCAGAAAGTTGGTTCTTTCAGCACAATTTTAGAAGAGCACTTTTTTTTAAATCCCAAACATACACCCACACTTTATAATTCCTCTTTCCTGCTTCTCTTTCTAGACATCTGGAAAGGTCCATACGAACTGAATGACCAAGCACTGTAATTAACTGTAGAGAGTCCAGGGCCATTGCTGTGCAGATCACGTTCAGTTTGGTGACAGCTAGCTCATTCAGTTCAGTGGTCAGCTGCATTTTGATATTGAGGCAGACAGACTGACGCCAGGGCAGAGGCTGGCGTGCTACGGCCCAGTAGACCTGAGATCAGCTCGCAACAGCAGTTTAGAGTTTAACCCATATGATTGGACACCCACCACCCCCGCCACGCCATAAAACCCCGGAACAGGTTTTATGCCATGGCTCGGTGTTCGTTCTAGCTTTCCCGGAACACAGGGTCAGTGTGAACCTGGGAGCAGTCACCTTTGGCCAGGCGCAGAGAGTTGGGATGCTGTGATACATGTGAAAAAAAAACTTCAGCCAAGAGATCCATACCTTCACTGCCTCTAGCTTAGCAAGCTTGGTTTCTGAGATCAGTCAAGGACAGCAAGGCTTTAGTGTCGGGATTATGCCCCGGGATCCAGAACTGGGCTAGATTCTTCTTTTTTTTTTAACCCAAAGACTATAGGACAGAAAGGCAGCCGTCATAGACTGGAGACAAACTTAATGTGTCTGGTTTAGTCCTATAAATGCTCGACTGTATCACTGATACCACAGAGTCACAAATCTGGTGTCACTTCTCCACTAAAATCCTCAAGTATTGTCTCTAAAGCTAGTTGCCTCCTTTTCACTCAACACTCTCTGGTGTTTCAGTGCAGTTTTAACATTTGCAAGAAAACCATTGAGAAGGATGTGCATTAAGTCCCTCCATGGATGTGTTTGGTTCAGCAAAGAAGGGCAAGTGTTTAAGAAAGACACTTTAAAAGAAGCCAGAGATGCTTCGCCAGCAAGTGGGCTCACTGTTGCTGCAGGACCACTGACCGGCTAATCAGCACATAATGTAAACAGATGTCGGCGCCGCACATCCCATTCACATTTCTACACAATTAAGATCTTAAAGAAAGACTTCTTCCTCATTAATCCTCATCTCAATCCTTTTCAACTTATCCCGCAGCAAAGCCCCATGTATTAGTGTTGTGGTAAGAAGGATATGGACTCTTATCCAGTGTTTGCCCAAGAAAAGCAGCTAAGACTCAGGCAACACCACGATTAGCTAATGGTAACAATGGGGCAATGTTTCCTTAGTGTCTCCTCTTTTCTGCACTGAAGTGGGTGTAAAAACCAGAGTAAACACAGTCTTAGGCCGTGGACGCAAGAGGAGTGGGAGACCACAAGTCTGGGTGAATAGCAGAGATTTACCCAGAGCGCAGACCCCTGAAGATAAACCCCCCTTGCTCTCTTTCCTGTTGTTCAACTCCCACGCTTCCCAGCACGTTGCTACCATTTTCAAAACCCAGTGGCCAGGTGTGGGGAGGCTGCAGGTGCCATCGCATTTAGGCACATTAAGCACTGACACACAACAGCGCTAAGAGTAATCGGATTTACCTGGCTGTCTATCTCGTGGCGTGGTGCACTGTGCAAGCACAGCACAAAGGCTTAGGGCCCCCTCTCCATCACAAACACACACACATGCACACACCTGGGATGAATTTAGGAGGTGACAAAGCCCTCATAGAGAGGGGCTGCCGCTGGTGGACTAAAGGCTGAGTGTGTGTGTGTGTGTGTTTAACATGTGTGTGCTCACATGTATGGAACCAGAAACCAGAACAGGAGCCAGTGGCTTTTTACACCTTGTGGTATAAGAGTGGCGACAGACGCTACGGGCTCCTGGTTCAAAGCGGCGGAGGGAGGGAGGGGAAGTGGAGGTTTTAGGGGAGCCCCTTCATTCTGCTGACCCTCAGACCGCCGGAGCTCATGGGGATTGAGCTCTGGTACTGGGTTCAATCAGACAAAATGGGACCGTTGCCTTAAGGGACACCCCATGTCCTTAACACCTGGGGCCAGGAGGAGGTGTTACAGCAATGCTCTCATCTCTGATCACAGGTCTTCCGGAGCAGAGTCAGGATCAAGGAACGGACAGAGAGGATCAATAAAAAACACTACGAGCCATTCAGACTGTGTGTTTAAGTCTAAATTTATTTATTTAGTTGTTTAAAGTAATTATTTTATATCTGCTGATACTTGATACTATTTCCTCCGCTAAGATTATATTTTCAGTTTGTCTCTCTGTTTGTTATTTAGCAGGATAACTAAGAGAATAATTATATTTCTTTTTTCTTAATGGGAAAAAAAATCTGGCATGTTTATGTGACTAATATTTATGAGTTTGTTCAATTTGGTGCAGATCCAAATAAAAATCTGGACCAAGTGAGTTTAAATGTGGTTTTATAAGAGGACTGTTCTGGTCCTGGCAGAGATACGCACTCTCTTAATAGTTTTCATTCATGATTATTCCTAAAGTCTGTAGTGATAAAAGAAAAGCAGCAAATCCTTATGTTCCAGAAGCTGCAACTGTTTTGGCATTTCTGCTTGATAAAATAGAAAATAATCAATTATTAAATTGCTGTCAATTAGTCTTCTGTTGTTTTAGCCCCAACACTAAATTCTTGTATCTTAAAATGTGCAAGAAGGGGTTTAGAAGCAGCGTGCGTCATACCTAGATTTTCCCAGCAAGCATCACTGTGCTCTCCTCCACCATGTTTCGTGTGATTGCAGCCTTCAAGCCTCTTGAGTCCAGATGAAAGCTTCTCGAAGCTCTGCGGCCCTTTTGACTTTTCCTGCTGCTTTTGAACTCTCCATTTCAGACTGTGACTTTTCCACATGACCCCCAAGCCTCACAGTGACCCCTGCAACCCCCCCACTCTGCTCCAACCCCGAAGGCTTCAGTGGTCTGGAACCGCCAGGGCTCCTTCACACGTACCCACAGACATACATAAAATGAGAAGTGGCAGTGTTGCTGAGGTAGGTCAGGATGTAATGGGCAGTAATGTTCTGCCCTCGAGGACCCTGTCCTTTTGCTTAAAGAGGCACCTTGGTGACTCCCAGGCACCCAAGCACGGGGGAGTAACAGCTAATGAAGCGGCTGGAGTTACAGTATAAGGTTGGGGTCCAATAGACCTTTTATTACTGCCACAGGATTAAAATCACTCCGTCCCACTCGTCTGTCCCAATTCAGAGCCAATTTAACCAAACTAAACAAGCTATCACATCAAATCCAGGCTAAGTCCTGGCAACAGCCACCGCTGAATTAACCTCCTAATCAGCCTCTTACTCCCCAATCATCTCCTGTTCTGTCGTTCCACATACACACAGCTGCACTTTTCATCTACCCACTATCTCACCTTATTCTACAAATGATCTAACTCAGGCTACAGTTCTCCCTTCACCTCAATCTCTCCGGCTTCGTCTCCATTACTCTCTCTCTCCTTTTCCCTCTCTCGCTGCCTTTCCTTTCTCTCACAGTTTCCGAGTCCCAGAGAGAGAGAAAGAGAGAGAGAAAGGCAGAGTAGGGAGTGGTGAGGTTTGACTCTCTGCTGCTTTGGGGCTTTGAAGTGTGTGTTGATGAGAGAAAGCGGAGTACTGTGCTCAGACAGGCCCCTAATGAGGGAATTAAGAAGCTACGCTGGCCGTTCCCCATACTAACTTCCCAAGCACAAAACAAGACAGGAGTGTGTGCATGTGTTCAGAAATACAAGTGTGTGTGTGTGTGTGTGTGTGTGTGTGTGTGTGTGTAGGAAAGAGCAAGCACAAGAGAGGGGCCAATCTCAGCCAGTCCTGCCTCTCACCTACATTGAAGAGACTGGCCTCAGTGTTTGGTCGGCTGTATTCACGTCCTTGAGCTAAATCTTTTTAGAGAAAGAAATAGAGATAGAAAAGGTAATTTTTTTAGTGGACTTACGATAGTGCGACTCTAGGTAGCCATTGCGGGGGTCCATGGCGAACAGAGTTCCTCTGTAGGGCAGGGCGTGGTCAGCCAGGTGGGGCAGGGAACCATGCAGCTCCTTCTTGAGCAGCGATGGGCGTTCCTCTGTGGAGGTGGAGGGCTCCTCGTTGGCTGGCGCCTGAGAGCTGATGGCATTGCGCCTCTCACGGTGGTAGGGTGTACCTGAACTGTCGTCTTCTGTTGGGGTAGACAGATTCAAAGAGGCAACATAAGTATGACGTGAAAACTTTGGAGGAGTAACAGGTGGACATTACACAGCATATCCTGCCTCCTGCGTGCTCTACTCAGGCATTTCCCTCCTGCTGCATTGTTTATATGTGAAAGGCATTGTCCAAGCATTATATTATCTGGGGTTCATGTCTGAAAACGGCTTCACACACAGATGTACACACACACCCAAACACTTGGTAAGGAAGTCTGTTCACGTAGCGGGAGAACAGGTAAAGGGAGGAGCAGGGGATCAGCTCTGTACACCTGAAACCTATGCTCTGTCATCAGAGTAAATCTGCAGGGGTTTGCCTTCCGCAGCACCAAAAGTCGGAGTTCAGAGGCAGATGGTGTATGAGCAAATAGCACCATTGATGAAAAAACCTCTTCATTTCGCACAATTGAGGCATGATTTTCCCCAAAGCCTGTTCTTAAATTCAGCTCTGTCTGTTCTTTTTATAAAGAAATGGATTCCCATGGGGAGGCAGCGCCGGCTTTCCGTCTGCATTCCAAACTGCCCATTAACCAGCGTCATGGGTTGTATCAACCCTGCCGTCCTCCTCTCTCTCTCTCACTCTCTCACTCTCTCTCTCTCTCTCACTCTCTCACTCTCTCTCACTGTTCTCAAACTAAATCTAATGCTCGTTTTCTCTCTGGGGGGAAAATTAGGAGAAGTGGGGTCTCTGGAGAAATTTCAATGGCATGCTGGGTAAAAAAAGGGGATAAATGTGAAGTTTGGGTTCAAGGGCTGAGCTGCACCAGGAATACATGACCCTTGACCCTGACCTCTGAACTGACATATATATATATAAGGGTTATTTAGCCTCCTGACCTGGAATTAGACATTTCTGTAGTATGATACAACTCAGGCCAACTCAGTCACTTTTTATGACATTTTAATGTAGTGTATGTATTTTAT